GAAAGCCAAGGCTTGGCACGACCACCAAGTGTCAGAGGACACTTGAGGACACGACCACCAAGTGTCAGAGCTGGAACTCACAGCGCACACCGCTTACAGCCAAGGTCTGGCCTCAGCCACCGCCGCGCTCTCCTCTGGCCGCCCCCTGACCCTGCTGCCCTTCCTACCCACGGCCGCAGCCGCCCCAGATCCCGGCGTTTCACCACACCAGCTGAGCTGAGCAGCCTCCAAGTACCTGGCACCTGAGGTCACGTGCAGAGAAGCAGGCCTCATCCTCGGCCTCGGGTGCGTTTTCTTCATTTGGAGAATGTATGGGTTGCAAGACACTACCACGTATCTGTATGTCCTGGGCAGGTATTTACAGCTGCAATTCCCTCTGGTTCAAGTGAACCTGTCTTCCCGAGGCCAGCCAGCCTGCTGCCTGGAGGGATGAAGCAGGAAGGAGCCACCTGGGCCTGGCTGTTTCCCCAGGGAGTGGCCCTGGGGGTGACCCAGACCCCTGGGACTCAGAGAGCTGACGGACAGCAGGCCCAAGGTCAGAGAGGGATCCGGACACCACAGAGGGGTCGGTGGGCAGGAGAGGGCTCTGGACCCCAAGAACACCCACCCCGACTTCTAGGCTCCATGCTAGCTTTAGTTCTGGAGAGCACAGCTCAACTCTGTACCCCAGTATGGGGGGGAGCACCAGGACACCTCAACCTGTTTCCACCAGATCGATTAGTCTGGGATCTCCAGAGAAGGAGAACCTCTCTCTCTCTCTCTCTCTCTATATATATATATATATATATTTGACTTCCCAGGGGTACAGTGGTAAAGAATCTGCCAATGCAGGAGATATAAGATGCAGGTTTGATCTCTGGGTGAGGAAGATCCCCTGGAGAAGGAAATGACTACTCACTCCAGTATCCTTGCCTGAAAAATCCCATGGACAGAGGAGTCTGGTGGGCTAGTCCATGGGGTTGCAAAGAGTCAGACATGACCAAGCATGCATGCATGTTTGTACACACACACACACATATGCATACCCACATATACACACACACTATATATGTTATAAGGAGTCGGGTCATGTGATTACAGAGGCTGATAAGCCCCAAGTTCTGCAGGGTAGGGCTGGAAACCCCAGGAGAGCTGATGACGTTTTAACCATCTAAGGGCCAGCAGGCCTGAGACCTAGGAAGAGGCCATGTTTCACTTCCAAAAGGCAGGCAGAATATTCTCACTTGGGGAAGAGTCAGCCTTTCTGTTCTACTGGGGTCCTCAATGGATTGGACAAGGCCCACCACATAGGGGAGTTCCATCTGCTTTACTCAGCCCAGCAATGCTAATCTCATCCAAAAATACCCTCACAGAACCACCTGGGATAATGTTTGACCAAGTATCTGGGTGTCTTCGGGTTGACAAGCCCACTCGGGTTAACACATTGACCTGAACCCTCACATCCAGGTTTGAATTATGATGTGCCAGTCCTGGGCACACAGTCGTGTAGTTTACACAACACTTTTTAATCTTTACAACTTCCCTGTTGGGGAGAGGGTAGCTGGAGCAGGTGTAGATGGCACTATCCCCATTGTACACATGAGGAGACCGAGACACCGCCCAGGGAGGAAGCCAGAATCAGGGCTGGATCCAGAATCTTCTGAAGAACCTTGGGGACAGGTAAAAGCTTGCTTGGCCCAAACTTTCAGATATGCACGCAAAAGCATGGGTATGAACGGTATGGAAGCAGTTGGACAGATGAGGTAGTTTGACAGCCAGTGATTCTCCAACTGGCTGTATACTGGCCATCAGCTGGATAGTTCTTTTAAAAAATGCTGGTGTCTGGCTTCTTCCCAAGAGATGCTGATTCAGTGAGCCTGGTACCTCTGCATACCTGGACCATTCAACTAACCCTCCCATTCCCTGACCCCATGATGCTAAGGCATAGCCACAGTCAAAAACCACGTGAGGGGGACCACCCTGGTGGGCAGAGGTTAAGACTCAGCACTTCCACTACAGCAGGCATGGGCTTGATCCCTGGTAGGGGAACTAAGATCTCACTTACCTTGTGGCACAGCCAGAAAAAAATAAGAAAAACAAAAACACACTGGCCTCTTCGCCGAGAGTGCAGAGGTGATGCGGGAGGTGGTGTCATACACCCGAGATGGATGGAGGTCACATCTGTGTGGCAGTCAGGGACAGCGCTCAGGGGAAACCTGTGTGGTGGAGATCTATGGAGTGTATGAAGGAGGGGTTCCTCCTCCTTTTTGAGAGGAAAAGCTCTGACTTTAAAGCCATCTTTGTCCCTTTTATTTATAATTTACTTTTTAATTGGAGGATTCCCTAGTAGTTCAGACGACAGTCTGCCTGCAATGCAGAGACCAATATTTGACTTCCCAGGGGTACAGTGGTAAAGAATCTGCCAATGCAGGAGATATAAGATGCAGGTTTGATCTCTGGGTGAGGAAGATCCCCTGGAGAAGGAAATGACTACTCACTCCAGTATCCTTGCCTGAAAAATCCCATGGACAGAGGAGTCTGGTGGGCTAGTCCACGGGGTTGCAAAGAGTCAGACATGACCAAGCATGCATGCATGTTTGTGCACACACACACACATATGCATACCCACATATACACACACACTATATATGTTATAAGGAGTTGGGTCATGTGATTACAGAGGCTGATAAGCCCCAAGTTCTGCAGGGTAGGGCTGGAAACCCCAGGAGAGCTGATGACATTTTAACCATCTAAGGGCCAGCAGGCCTGAGACCTAGGAAGAGGCCATGTTTCACTTCCAAAAGGCAGGCAGAATATTCTCACTTGGGGAAGAGTCAGCCTTTCTGTTCTACTGGGGTCCTCAATGGATTGGACAAGGCCCACCACATAGGGGAGTTCCATCTGCTTTACTCAGCCCAGCAATGCTAATCTCATCCAAAAATACCCTCACAGAACCACCTGGGATAATGTTTGACCAAGTATCTGGGTGTCTTCGGGTTGACAAGCCCACTCGGGTTAACACATTGACCTGAACCCTCACATCCAGGTTTGAATTATGATGTGCCAGTCCTGGGCACACAGTCGTGTAGTTTACACAACACTTTTTAATCTTTACAACTTCCCTGTTGGGGAGAGGGTAGCTGGAGCAGGTGTAGATGGCACTATCCCCATTGTACACATGAGGAGACCGAGACACCGCCCAGGGAGGAAGCCAGAATCAGGGCTGGATCCAGAATCTTCTGAAGAACCTTGGGGACAGGTAAAAGCTTGCTTGGCCCAAACTTTCAGATATGCACGCAAAAGCATGGGTATGAACGGTATGGAAGCAGTTGGACAGATGAGGTAGTTTGACAGCCAGTGATTCTCCAACTGGCTGTATACTGGCCATCAGCTGGATAGTTCTTTTAAAAAATGCTGGTGTCTGGCTTCTTCCCAAGAGATGCTGATTCAGTGAGCCTGGTACCTCTGCATACCTGGACCATTCAACTAACCCTCCCATTCCCTGACCCCATGATGCTAAGGCATAGCCACAGTCAAAAACCACGCGAGGGGGACCACCCTGGTGGGCAGAGGTTAAGACTCAGCACTTCCACTACAGCAGGCATGGGCTTGATCCCTGGTAGGGGAACTAAGATCTCACTTACCTTGTGGCACAGCCAGAAAAAAATAAGAAAAACAAAAACACACTGGCCTCTTCGCCGAGAGTGCAGAGGTGATGCGGGAGGTGGTGTCATACACCCGAGATGGATGGAGGTCACATCTGTGTGGCAGTCAGGGGACAGCGCTCAGGGGAAACCTGTGTGGTGGAGATCTATGGAGTGTATGAAGGAGGGGTTCCTCCTCCTTTTTGAGAGGAAAAGCTCTGACTTTAAAGCCATCTTTGTCCCTTTTATTTATAATTTACTTTTTAATTGGAGGATTCCCTAGTAGTTCAGACGACAGTCTGCCTGCAATGCAGAGACCCGGGTTCAATCCCTGGTCGGGAAAATCCCCTGGAGCAGGGCACGGCCACCCACTCCAGGATCCTTGCTGGGAAACCCCACGGGGACAATGTCATGTTGTTTCCTGCCGTTCAACAACCCAAATCAGCTGGAATTATACTATTTAAAAAAAAATTTTTTTTGGCTGTACCAGGTCTTAGCTTCAGCACATGGGATCTTTAGGCGTGGCACCTGGGATCTAGTTCTGTGACTAGGGATCAAACCCAGGCCCTCTGCCTTGGGAGCACAGAGTCTTAAGTACTGGATCGCCAGGGAAGTCCCATCTTTGGCCTTTTTAAAATTGAAGTTCAGCATCTTTCTAAATTGGCATCACCATTAGAATTCAAGATGAATCCATCCCACAGAGAACAGGGCAGTACTACTTACCAAGCACCTACAACCTGTAAGGCCCCCGAGTTCCTCTCCCCCCATCTCCCCTCCCCGCCACCCAGGGAGGCAGGAATACCCCCGCCCACTGAGGAGCAGGCTGGTGAGGAACTGGCTGAGGTCACAGCATCAGGACCACGCTCCCAAGCAGCACAGCTCAAGGGCTGATTCCATCCCCCTGAAGATGTTTTCGGCTGTCACAACTCAGGGGGGAGAGGGTGCTTACCGTCACCTTGTAGGCAGAGGCCAGAGATGCTGCTAAACACCCTACAATGTACAGGACAGGCCTTCACAAGTTACCCAGCCCAGAACATCAGTAGAAACAATGGTTCCTGGCCTGGGCTGAGACCCATCTGGGGGAGCTTTAAATATTCGATGTTCGGAATTTCCCTGGTGCCTCAGTGGTAAAGAATCCACCTGCCAAAGCAGAGGACGAGGGTTCGATCCCTGATCCGGGAAGACCCCACATGCCATGGGGCAACTAAGTCCATTCATCGCATCTGAGCCTGTGCTCAGAGCCGGGAGCTGCAGCCACTGAGCGCTTGTACAACCACTGAAGCCCGGGCAGGGCAGCTAGATTAGCCTCTGCTCTCCCCAACCAAAGAGCCCGAGCAGCAAAGACCCAGCACGGCCAAAAAAGAAAACAGACAGATAGTCCTTTAAAAAGTCGGATGTTCATGCCGCACGCTGACCAAGTCCATCAGGCTGAGAGGGGTGTCAGCTGCTTCTCAAAGCTTGCCACATGGTTCCAGTGAGCAGCCAAGACTGCTCTAAGCTACTTATCCTAGTGGCCTCTGCTCCACTCATGGGAGCCTGGAAGAGGAGGACCGAATCTGTCTGGGTTGTACAATAAACGGCAGATCTGCAAGGTCCTCACCACCTCCCAGAATCAAAGGCCAGAACTCTGGTTCAGCAGGTCCTTCCATGGAGGCCGACTAACTGGTGACTCACCCATGGCGGGTGCTGGAGGGCCAGGGAGTTGGTAGGTATTTGCTAATCTTTCCCCTGCCTCTCTGGGGTGGGTCACAGCCAGGAACCACCCCAGGTGGCTGCGAAAGCGTCCCAAAGAGACTGGACCAAAGAGCAAGGCTGCCACCTAGTGGAGGAACCAGAAAGAAGGGGTGCCTGCCGGTTATCAAGTGATGTCTTACTGGATCCTCACAACAGCCCTGGGGGAGAGGCGCAGACGAGGGCCATGAGACACAGAGAGATGAAGCCGTGTGCTCACAGGGTTTGAGCCTGGATTTGCACCTATCTGGCTCACAGGAGTGCCCCGGGCTTCCTTCTGCCTTCTCACACCCGTCCAAGAGGAAGAGGACCCTGGATGGGGTTGCCTGATTCCCTTCTGACGTCCAAAATGCCCTCTCACTTCCAGTTGGGACCTGGGAAGAAAGAGACCCTCGGTCCCAGCGCAGCACAGAAATGAACAGGCTGCCCTCTCCAACTGCGAGTCCAAAAAAAAATGGGAAACTGAACTTCCTGTGGTCTCTACCACAAAGCCCCTGGCTCCCCAGGACAGCGGTTTATAAACAGAGGCCTGATGCACACTCATAAGAAGACAAGAGACTCCAGCACATTAGAGGGTGTGGGTGCAGAGGCTCCCTGGCAGACACCGTGGACAGTCCCGGTTAGCCCCCGTCGTGTCTCTTCTCTTCTGATCCTGAGGACAGTCCTGGGTGCCGAGCCACGCTGGCTGCTTCAGATGCGGCCGAGGGGTGCTGGGGGTCTTGGGGAAGTTGCTCTCTGCCCCCTTCCACTGGGAACCCCTTCCTCTGGCTGCAAATGGAGTGAAGAAGGATTCCTGCACAGACAGACAGATGGAAAAGAGGAGGGACCATGGGCCAGGCCCTTCCTCACTTCATCCTCAAGAGGCTGGAGGGGACTCCCCTGGTGGTCCAGTGGTTAAGAAGCTGCCTGCCAATGCAGGGGACATGGGTTCCATCCCTGGTTTGGGAAGATTCCACATGCTCTGCAGGGCAACAAAGTCCATACACCACGCACACAAACAAGAAGCCACTGCAATGAGAAGCCTGCAACTAGAGAGTGGCCCCTGCTCACCTTTACCAGAGAAAGCCCTTGGGCAGCAATGATGACCCAGAGCAGTCAAAAGTAATTAATTTTTTAAAAGGTGTAGACATTTTCCTCATTTGGCACATATAAGCAATTCAGACACAGAAAAATTGAGAAAGGTATCTAGGGTGAATTGAAGCAGCTATATGCGTGTGATCAGAGGGAGAGAAGGAAGGGGAGAGGAAACTCACCTGCGGCCACGGAGACGTTTAAGGACTCGAGTCCAGGAGGCAGCTGCCGGCCGGGCAGGATGGTGAGGAGAAGCTGGCAGGAGGCCTGCACTTCCCGGGAAAGACCAGAGCCCTCATTCCCTGCAGAGCAGGGGGCCGGAGGGTTACAGAGGCCCCAGCTGGGCAGGAAGGCACTCAGGAAGCTTGCATCTCGGCAAAGAGCAGGGACATCTACCTACCCAGCACGAGGAGGGTCGGCCGGTCCCATAAGAACTCCAAGCAGCTAGTGATGGGGATCTTGGAGGACGGGGCGATCTCAGGCCCCGGGCAGCCCACCGTGCCAGCCACGAGCCAGCCCTGCCGGGCTCTGGCCTGAAAGGTGGGGAGGAGAAATCAGTCCTTCAGTGGAGCACTGGCCGGGAGGAGCCCGGCCTTGCCCATCTAGTCATTCCCTCGTTGAGCCGCTGGATTCAGTCAGTAGTGATCAAGCACCTAGAGTGGACAGGCTCTGTGCTCGGCACTGGGGATAAGGTGATGAACCAAACAGGCCCAAACCCCAGCCTCACAGTAGGGTGATCAGGGAAGCCTCACTGAAGTGTAGACCTGCGGGAGGTGAGGGGAGGGAGCACCACATAAACACCTGGGGGAGGAGATACTCTAGGCAGAGATCAGTAACGGCAAAGGCCAAGAGGTGGGTGCTTACCAGGCAAGTGTGACGAACAGCGAACAGCCAAGTGGCCAGTGGGAAGGGAGCCGCTGAGACTGGAAAGGAAAAAAGAGGCCACGGGAGGTAGGACCTCAAAGGCAACTGGAAGGCCTTTGGCTTTCACTCTGAGAGAGACAAAGCCTTTGAAGGGTTTTGGGTGGAGAAGCTGTGACATGGTCTGACTTACGTCTCTACAGAATCACTCTGTCTATGTTGAGAGCAGAAACAAGCAGACCAGTTAGGTTTCTGCAGTGACACAGGCAGAGATGCTGGTGGCTTGGACCACAGTGGTAACAGTGGAGATGGTCAGAAATGGTCAGAATGTGGAAATAAGGTCAAGGTAAAAATGAAAGGAGGTGTCTTAACAATATCCATTTATTTTAAATCCTTTTCTAATCTCTGGGGCAAACCTGAACTACCTGTACCTTTGTCGTCAGCTGCATGTGCAGGACTGGACAATCACATCCTTGTAAGACAGGTGGGATGTGGGGAGAGAGAGCAGGAAGAACCAAGGAGGATGCCAAGGCCTCAATAACTGAAGGCAGGGGGAGCTGCCATCAGCAGAGCTGGCTAAATCTGCAAAAGGAACAGGACCATTTGGAAATCTTGTTTGAAACGCCCATTAGATAGAAAAACGAGCTGTTGAGTAGGCAACTAGATATGTGAATCTGAGGTTCAGGAGCAAAATCCAGAAGGATATGTATTTGGGAGGCATTCGTATCTAAACGGCAATTTAAAACCATCAGATTGCATGTGACAAACAAGAAATGAGTATGTACAGAAGAGGGACCCAAGGACTGAGGAGCCCTGGGGGATGGTCAGGAAAACTGCTAAGTAAAGGGCAATACTGCCCCCTTGTGTCCAGCAAGGGAGGCGCAGCGGGAGACAAATGCCGCTGGACCAGGGATTTTGCTAAGGTTGCACAGAGCCAGGCACGACTGAAGCGACTTAGCAGCGGCGGCAGCAGCCCCTTCCTTCGTAAACATCAAAGTGGGTTTTTTTTTTTTGGTGGTGATGATGATGTTGCTGGTGGTAGTGGCTTGAGGGGTTTGTTTTGTTTCTTCGTGGTGGGAGGGACCAGGGGAAAAGGATAGACCAGTCCTTGTCCAAAGAGCCTTTCAAACTGTTTCCCTACAGGAGGAAGCAGGACACACTGGTTTCTCACGAGTGAACATTTATTGAAGACCTACTTACTAGATGGGCTTCCCTGGCAGCTCAGATGGTAAAGAACCTGCCTGCAAAGCAGGAACCCTGGGTTTGATCCCCTGGGTTGAGAAGATCCCCTGGAGAAAGGAATGGCTACCCACTCCATTATTCTTGTCTGAAGAATTCCAGGGACAGAGGAGCCTGGCGGGCTACAGTCCATGGGGTCCCAAAGAGTTGGACATACTGAGCAACCAACATTTTACTTACTAGGCAGTGAACTGAAAGTCACTCAGTCATGTCGACTCTTTGCGACTCCATGGACCCATAGTCCATGGAATTCTCCAGGACAGAATACTGGAATGGGTAGCCTATCCCTTCTTCAGCGGATCTTCCCAACCCAGGAATCGAACCGAGGTCTCCTGCATTGCAGGCAGATTCTGTACCAACTGAGCTCTCAGGAAGCCCTAGCCAGTGAAGCACTGAGTAACCTGCATGAGGAGCAACAGGTGTGCCTGTGAAAGGAGTGCAGTGAGTCCCTAACATCAGATTCTGCTCCAGGTACGCTTTTTAGAACTCCAGATCCTTCTCTCCTCAAAGCGATTTAGATGGCTGGATGAATCACAGGCTGGAATCAAGACTGCCAGGAGAAATATCATCAACCTCAGATATGCAGATGATACCACTCTAATGGCAGAAACTAAGAGGAACTAAAGAGCTTCTTGAGGAGGGCGAAAGAGTGAAAAAGCTGGCTTAAGACTCAACATTCAAAAAACCAAGATCATGGCATCTGGGCTCATTACATCCTGACAAATAGAAGGGGGAAAAGTGGAAACAGTGACAGGTTTTATTTTGGAGGCTCCAAAATCACTGCAAATGTTGACTTTAACTATGAAATTAAAAGATGCTTGCTCCTTGGAAGAAAAGCTATGACCAACCTAGACAGCGTATTAAAAAGCAGAGACATCACTTTGCCAACAAAGGTCCATATAGCCAAAGCTACAGTTTTTCCAGTAGTCATGTATGGATGTGAGAGTTGGACCATAAAGAAGGCTGAGCTCCGAAAACTTAATGCCTTCAAATTGTGGGGCTGGAGAAGACTCTTGAGAGTCCCTTGGACTGCAAGGAGATCAAACCAGTCCATCCCAAAGGAAACCAATCCTAAATATTCACTGGAAGGACTAATGCTGAAGCTCCAATGGCCACAATACTTTGGACAGGGAAGCCTGGCGTGCTGCAGTCCGTGAGGTCGCAGAGTGGTCAAGACTTAGTGACTAAACAAACAAGGAAGGGATACCAACACCCCCCCCNNCCCCCACCCCCTCCCTTTCCTCCCTCAGCTGCTGACCGGGAGGCCCTTGGAGAGACTGAGCTTGGCTCATTTCTTCTCCTTTACTGACACACCCCCGCTTCCCCCTCGCCATTACCTGTAAAAAACCGGCCAGGTCATCAGTGGAGAACACGTCCATCACCTCCATAGCCCCGGCGCTGGCCTTGCTGACTACTGGAGTGAGCGGGCAGCTGCAAGGTTTCCCCATGCCACCATATGAAGCCGGGTAACCTCAGGCCCGGTGCTGTGCCCTCCCCCATACCCCACGAGTTAGGGGGTAAGAATTCTGGCGTCGGGGAGGCCTGGTTGAGGGACCACCCAAGGGTCAAGGTGCTTAGGAACTCGGCTGTGCCTCCAGATGGGGACGCACGGGGAATAAGGGGCGTCCGTGCCTGTTTCTCCGGCTGGTGATGACCTTATCCACTCCGAGGAAGTGAGCGGAGCGCAGCACGGCCCCAAGATTCCGGGGATCCTGCAGCCCCTCGAGGACGAGCCACAGCTGCTGGGGGTCGTCTCCTGGTCGGGCCTTCTCGGCCTCGGCCTCGGCCCAGGGCCGGGGCCTCAGGGGGCTCACTTCCATGCAGACGCCCTGGTGAACCTGGTGGCGGCACAGGACGTCCAGCTCCCGCCGCCGGGGCCGCAACACCGGGATGGTCCGCGCCTCGGCCGCGCGCAGCAGCTCAGCCCGCTGCCCCTCCAGCCCGGACCTGCCGGCCTGGATTAGGAGCCGGGTGACACGGCGGCGGGCGGCCCGCAGCGCCAGGAGGCACGGGGACAGGCCAAACAGAAGCTCCAGGCCCCCGGCCGGCCGCGGCACCGACCCCAGGTCATCCAGGGGCAGGCGGCCGAGCTCCTCCCCGCCTGGCCGCGCCCCGCGCCGCGTCGCTTGGGAGAAAGGACGCGTGAAGTGGCCGCAGCAGCGCCAGGTCGCGGCCCCGGCGGCCGGGGCCAGCACCATGGTCGATGCCCGGGCTGCGTCCCCAGGGGCAGTCACTCTCGCCGGCGCCGTCCCCCACGTGAGCCGCTCCGCTTCCGCGTCCCGACGCCCCGCCCCCGCCCGGGAGCCGCAAGGCGCATGTGCGGCGGCCAGGCCGTCTCTACAGCGCCCCCTTCAGGGCAGGCGGAGCGACCACCATCCACCGCCGAGGCGCCGGGGCGAGGGGGTGCTCGCCGCTGAACTGACCCGACGGCAGGTCGGGCGGCGTCGTGCACCGTCCAAGGCCCCGGGAGACTGGAGGACCTTTCATCCCGGCGCCAGCAAAGGACACTTAAAGGCGATGTGTTGGGTTTCCTCTCCAACCTGGCTGGGCGTGGTGACGCCCTCCACCACAGGGTGCTGGCAGTATTCCTCCGGAGCTGCTTCTGCATCCAACCTCTCCGCGACACCTCCACTGCCTGTCAAACCTTAGCACCGGTCAGCAGAAACCCCACCGATGACTTCCGATCCCATGGCCCCGATTCTCTGAGTGACAGGTCTGGCCTACTGACAAACCAGCTGATGCTCTTGGCCCCACAGGTTAAGGGCCAGACTCCTTGCTCAGGAATCAGACCCCGCCCCCGACCCCGGGATCCAGGCAGGAGCTACTTTTTCAGCCTCACCGTAAATCCTGCACCAAGTTCTGTGCTATTCCAGAACTATTTCCACTGCATGCTCTTCGAGGCCCCCCTGCCTGGCGCGCCCTGCTGTCCTCTTTTTCTGGCCGGAAATTCCTACCCATTTTCCAGACCCAACCAAAAGGTAATTAACACTCCAGGAAGGATGCCCCCAATCCACCCACCTTCCCGCTCTCGGGCAAGAAACTCTGAGACACAATCATTCCTCATCACAGGAAGGGGGAAGAACTGAAAGACACTCCTGCAGCCAAGATTTTTTAATGCAATTTTCCTTTTTTTAATGATCACAGTGAAACCCACATGGGAGGCAGGCCCTGGTATTCTGCTGCCATAGTCAGAGTCGAGTGAGGACCCCACTAGGGGTGGAGAAGCCGCAGTGGGACTAGAGAACTGAGATGGGGCAAAGAAGGGGCAGTGGGGGAGGGAGAGAAGGAAGCCTGGAGCCCTGATAAGCATTCAGATGGAAGGTGAGGGCTTCCCTCCGCCGCCTCATCCTCAAGGGATGGTGGAAGTGGGGTTCAGGAAGATAGGGGAAAGCCCCACTTCTGGCCACAGTCCCTTCCCCAGGCCAAAGGGAAGAAGGCAAGGGCAGCAGACAAAGGCCAGGGAGCCCAAGAAGGGGACCAAGAAAGAAGGAGCAGGTAAAACAATCAGGGGACACCACCTCTTCTCCCCCCACCCATTCATGGTGGAAACAAGTTGACATATAAAAACCTCAAGTTTTCTAGCCCCTGGTGGGGGTGGGGAAAGGAAGTGGAATCCAGGGGTTCAGAAATCAACACCCCCAGTCCAGGGGCAGTTGCCCAGCTGTGAGGGGTTGCGGGGAGGAGCTCCCCACAGGGCACTAGGTCACTTGCTCCGTGGGCCTCATCTGGATGTCTCCGATCTGCAGAAGGTACAAGGCTTGAGGAAGCCGGCATGCTCTCCCCACCCTCTTAAGGCCTCCCCACTCTCCGCCGCTGGGCTGGCTGGGCTCCTCCAGGGGACAGACAGCCAAGGCCAGACTCACCTGGACATGTGGGGGCATGCTGAGGACATAGATGACAGCCTCGGCCACGTCCTCAGGTTTGAGACACTGGGAGCACCGGGGGAAAGGGGTGAGGTGAGGACAGAATGGATCCGAGTCCTCCCCCCACCAGGGAGGTCCTCCCCCCACCAGGGAGGTCCTCCCCCCACCAGGGAGGTCCTCTCCAGCATCCACGTTCCCCCACCCCACCCTCCAGGAGAGGTGATGGGCTGGCTGGAAGGGAGAGGTCTGAAGGCCAGGGCTCCTCTGCCTTCATTTAGGGAGTGGGTGGCTTCACTGGGCCCCACCTTCATGTGTCCATAGGTGGCGGCTGCCTTCTCGGGGTCCTTGTCGTGGAGTTTGAAGGCAAACTGTGTCTCCACCACTCCTGGAGAAATGCACTGTGCCAACAGAGACAGCCTGCTCAGGAGCTGAGCCCCGGGACCAGAGGTCAGGCACGGGGCGGGGGGCTGGGAGGGAAAGGACGGAGGCCACAGGGCCCCAGCCTCACAGGGACGGCCACCCGAGGTCCAGCGGCCACCTCCGCCCTCCAGAGCTGCCACGGNAGAATGATTCCTACCAGCTACAGAGCCGTTACTAAAAGCCAGGTCAGCTTTACAAAGTGGCTTCCCTTAAACCCTCATAACCTGCTAGGTGTTCTCATCTCCATCTTAAAGCTGGGAAGACTGAGGCGTGGAAAGGCTGAGCAAGCCACGCAAGCTCGGGCAGCCGTCCCGGGGAGAGCCCCAGTCCTGCTTTCCGGCCGTGGCTTCCCTCGGTCCCTTGTGCTCCCTCAGCCTCGCCCCTCCGCCTCGGCCCCCTCCTCCTAGGATCAAGTCAGCCCCTCTCCCGCCTCAAAGGCAGAGACACGCGGGGACTGTGCCCAGGACAGACGCCCAGCTCTCAGCGGCGCACCGGGCCGCGAGTGTGTGCGGCGGGGAGGGGCCGGGGTCAGGGCGCCCCTCACCGTGGCTCGGATGTGGCTCTGGGCCTCCCGGAGCTCTTGCCTCAGCCCCTCCGTCAGCGCGGTGACGGCGTACTTGGTAGCGCTGTAGAAATGGGTCTCGGCCGGGGGTGGCACCCGGTGGCCACTCATGCTGGGCGGAGGGAGGGAAGGGGAAGGAGAGAGTGATGCCAGGCCTGCTGCCCCCGCCGCGCATCCGGCTCATCCACATCAACGGCTCCTCCGGGCCCCCTCCTCCTCCAAGGCCTCCCTCCGTGGACCCCGGGATTCTCTCTTCAGTCCAAGCAGGCGGTCAAAGCGTTCTCCCTTTCACCCGCGTGGTTCACCGAGAGGGTCCTCACGAGGGTCTAGGGCACGGAGGCCATGTCTCCGAGGGCGCCCCCGTGACAGACCCTGAGCCACAGGGTGAGGTTCCTGCTGCGGCCTGAGGAACGGAGAACCCCAGTCCTGGGAGGCCCCCGAGGCCTCAGCCGCCAAGGGGCCAAGCTACCCCTTCCAGCCAACGAAGGGCTGGCGTTTGCACGTACTCTTCGTCCCCTACTGGAGGAGGGCATGGCAGCCCACTCCAGTTTTCTTGCCTGGAGAATCCCATGAACAGAGGAGCCTGGCGGGCTATAGTCCATGGGGGTCGCAAAAGAGTCAGACATGACTGAGCAACTAAACCACAATAACATTCTTCCCTGCTGCCCCGGTTGTGCCATCTGGGTGTTAACTGGGGGTGAAATCCCTATTCTACCACCCCGGGGACACTGAGGTCCAAAGAGGTCAAAGGAGCCGCGGCAGGTCACTCTGCTGGGAGGGTGGGGGGCAGCCTGAGCCCCAGCCCCCGCCCGCCTCACCTGTTGATGTTGATGATGTGTCCGTCATCCACCTTCCGCTCCCTCATGGACTGGAAGGCTTCCCGCGTGCAGATGCTGAGGGCCAGCACGTTCACCTGCGGGCCGGGGTGGGGGGCAATGCGCATCTGCATCTTTGGGCCCGTCTGAGCAGGTGATGGAGCCCAGAGCACCCCGAGGTGGGGGGCACCCCAAACAGGGGCCGGGTCCTACCTGAGACCAAGGACAGGCCAGGGCTGCGGGCCTCACGTGCCCTCCCCGTCCAGCCACCAGCCCCAGAGGACAGCAGAGGCGGCTCCCTCGGTGGGTGATGCCCTCAAGTTCCTCAAGTGTATTCGGGAACAGACACCACCCTTCCCCAGAACCCACCCAGGACCCAGGAGCGCTCCCTGTCTTGGCTGTCTCCTCTGCCTCAGAGAATTCACCCCCTTTTCTTCCCCAAATGCCCTGCTCTTCTCTGGGACAGAGTCACTGGCTCTCCTCGCTCTGAAACAGCCTAAAATTCTTCCTTTAAAAATCTCCCTCCTCGGCACCGCGCTCAGCCTTTCACCCCGCTGCTCTCTACGCCTTTCCCGTCCCTCCCTCGAGACTAGAGTGGACGAGAGAAGGCTGGCCCTCCATCCTTCCACGCCGTCCTCCAACCTCCATCCCATTTACAGACTGGGGGTGCGGTCACATGTCACTGCGTGGCAAGGGGCCTCCCAAGGGCATGAGGGCTTCCTGCCTTCCGTGGACCCCGCCCACTCCTGCTCCTCTGGCAGAGGTGACCCCCAGACCCCAGCCTGCGGGGAACAGACACCCGACGGAAGCATCTCTGCTCTAAAGCGCCCGCCCAGCCCCACCGCTTAGGCTGGCCCAGGAGGACAAGCAGATATAAAACTTTCAGCAGGCCTTCACTCTCTCCTCTGGGGAAGAGAGGAGACCAGCTGGGAAGTCAGATGTTTCTCTTTATCAGGTGTCAGCACCAGGCATTGGGGACAGAACACTCCCAGTGTGAAGCTGGCCCGGCGTTTACTGCAGGACACAGGTGGTTTCCAGCCCTGCTTTTGGTCCTCTTAACAATGCAGGTTTGTGGGGCAGAGAACTCAGCTTCTGGGGACGGAGGGATGAAGGAGGAGAAACTACGAGAAAGATTGCCTTGGGCCAGGGGAGCGAACCTCCTAGATCTGGGGGTCAAAGGTTCCCTCTGTGATCACTGACGTGGTTCTCTTCGGAGATGCCTCATAAGACAATCCTAAGAGAATGACATAATGTTCCAGCTGAAATGGGTCTTAGGGATTTCATGTACGTGCCTCGCTTTACAGTCGGGCAAGCTGAGGTCTAGGTTTAGAGACACCCTGACTGCAGGTGAGGTCCACAACTTGGATCTCCCAGAAGGTTCTCTGAGAACAATGGCAGGGCTGCATATCCCTGTTCAATGTTTCAATGTTCGTTGCTCATTTCTGGGCCCAAGCACCTGTCAGGTGCTACTGTGAGCACATATGAAAAGCTCTTGGGGGGAGATAGAAACATTCCATTTACACACTGCTTTCCACTTC